ATGTTTACTAATGTTATGCCATGTTTTTTTGCATCTAAATAAGCACTTTTTTTTTCTTAATGTACTACTTCTATAAGCTCTCTTTTAATAAGATGCTGGAGATAAAAAATGGAAAATGTTTACTATTGTTATTTATTTTATGCATTGTTTTTTGGCCATCAAAGAGGCACTTTTTTCTTTTTTTTCTTAATGCCGCACTTCTCTAAGGTCTCTGCTGGAGATAAAAAATACAACATGTTTACAGTAACTATTATTCCATGTTTTTTGGCATCAAAATAAACACTTTTTCTTATGCTATACTTCTGTAAACTAAACCTACATCTTTTAAAAGAGACTTTAGTTACTAAAATCTCTTTTTAAAGATGCAGGAGATAAACAAAACAAAATGTTCACTACAGGTTTAAAGATGTAAAACTTGATATTTTGATTGCACCCTATTGCTATTAAGCTATTGCTGTTATGTTTAAATTGACATAATAAAGATATGTTATAATTGCTGTTTTTTATATTTTGGACTCTTTATTCTAAAGAAAAATGTAATTTCATAAGCTTTAAGAGGGCATGGTTGGGGGATGGGCCAGGGGTGGGGTTGGAGGCGGACCTGGGCAAGGTTGGGTGGGGAAACTGGTGGAGAGTAAGGTTTGTGCCTGGCTAGTAGGTCTAGACTCAAAATTTTAAGCCCTGATTTACAGTTAGTATGAGGTGTCCCTTGTGCTGACTTTTTGGGTTTTAGGATAAATCTTCATCTTTCCTACCCCCTACCCCACAATCATCCAGTGCATCAGGGGTTAATACAGAAAAAGTCTTGATAGAAGCTATACATCAAGAGAACTTTACTGTATCCACTCTTTTTTGGCCAATTTGCCATTCATAGAAACCATACTACAACTTCCATGAATGATACAGGATCTCTGGATGGGGCTGAGATATCAATCATCATACTCCCACTGCTTTCAGTTTTTACCTTGATGTAAGAATGCATTTAACCATTGATAATGTGTGATGTGTAATAATGTGTGTTGCACAAAATATGTCTATGTGTGCATCCTATGTGCACTGAATTTTACGTATGTGCATGGGAGCCCCACATTTTTTTTGGCTTTTTTATTTCATGATAGTTTTTTTTCCTTTAGGCTTTAAAAAGAAAAGTTTCTTTATTGAAAAATATAAATTCCATCCAACATGTAAATAGAATGTACAGTCTACGACACTTGAATCTTAAGGAGTACAGAGCAACATCACAGGGTGTTGGTATAGCAATCCAGGACAAAGTATACAACACTGCAGAAAGCCAACATGGAAAGCCAGCGACCTAAGCCATAGAAGTCTGTTTGTGACCAGATTCAGGAAGCACATGCCTGGAGAATCAAGCTACCTGCTCCAAACTTTCAAATTAGGTTCCACATCACTTATGCTGAAAAGCGTGAAATTATTAATATGCTGCACATATTTCTGCATTGAGGGGGTTCAGCTGACTTCCAACGCTGCAATTATCTATGCAGTTTTGTACATCACCACAGTATATGAGTGATGTCCTTATGGTCTCTTTCGCACCTGCACGCAGGGTCAGCTAACTTGAAAGAGGTATTGTGAGGTCCTTAACACAATATAGAGTTAATTTAGATGCCAAGACACAGACAGTGAGTGCTGAATGACAGATTCCAAGACCATTTCCCACTTCTTCCGCTCCTGTTGTACTGCAGCCCTGCAGGGATCATTTGTCAAGTATTCAAGCGGTAGCAAGGAGTAGCAGTGGGATATAAACCTCTTGGTGCTTTTGGGGTTAAATGTCAAACAACACGTATCAGCTGGGAATGATAGCAGTGTGGAAGCAAGAAGGAGGCAAGCAAGTTATATTGTTGTTGGAGCAATGAGAAGGGATAGAGGTGACCATTTTTAAATCTGTGCTGCCCCTGGGCCCTGTACCAATAGTAGCAAATGAGCAGCTAGATAGTAGAGTCATAGGTTAGGGAGAGCTACCCACCTTATAGAGTTGCAACTAGTGCATATTTAAAGGAGAAGTACAGCCAAAGCTCTTTTGGCTGTAGGTCTCCTGTGGATCACAGGAGTGCAGTTCATTCTGCACTCCTGTGACACATTTTTGACATCACTCAGCCAGTTCAGGCTGGGGAAAGGTCTCAACTTCAAAGTCGGGATCCACCCCAGAGTCTGGAGCGGCACCTGGCTCAGCCTCTCAGCGAGCCGCTGAGGGCCTAAGCCAGCCGCTCTCTCCCCCTCCACAGCTCAGCACTCCAGTGAGGGTGGGCTGGGTTAGAGCAGAGAGAGAGCGCGATGACTGACAGTCCCGTTCTTTGCTCAGAGCAGCTGTAAGGACTCAGCGATCAGTGGTCATGTGATGAGTTTTCACACTTAGAGCATCGAACTAAATAGTGTATTCAGGGCACAGAGTATACTTAAGAGAATAGTGACTGGGAAATTATGCAGAAAATAAAGCAAATGCAGCATTAGGATAGTTTTTAAAGTTTCTTTATCCCATCAGAGAGAAAATCAAATGTTATTTTGAAACTGAAGGGGGCTACATGCCCCCTATGTGATAGCATAGTGCAGGTGTTAGGTACTCTATCTCTATACAGAGTCTCTACCCCCCCTCCAGGCGCCTCCTCTTGTGCCTAAGCAGATCAAGAAAAACAGTCCTCAATCTATCGCTTTACTGGCGAGATCTTCCCAGGATGACACGGACAGCTTTGAATGCAGTATCACTATGCTCTGAGCATTTCCAGGTTCACATTTTTGTTGTCCTAGGTTGCTAAGAGGAGCAGGAGAGCCTGGGGCGGGTGGGCAGCTCTGCTGGCCTTTACAGCCATCCTGTGGCTTTATACGTAAAAAATCGACAGCTTGCTGGTAAGTTCTAAAGAAAAGCTCATTGTTGCTATAGAACTCATCCTAGGCATTCAAAAGGTTAAAAGGACTACAAAGCGTTTTTCAAAGGTTTCAACAAAGGCTGGTTAAAGGTTGCCAATTGCTTTTCAAAAGCTTGCAGTACACACTGCTCTGATGCAAATTGAGGAACATGTGTACAAGGCTTTAAGTATCACTATAGATATAAAGTGCATTAGAGCAATGCTCTAATTTGTCTAGTTCATACAGACACTATAGGTGTCCGTGTCTTTAGGCCTTGACCTTTTAAAGATGGTGTTAAGCTTGACATCAGTTTGAGATGCTTTTGAGGCTATTCAGAATTCACTGACAGGTGCATCTGACCAACCGTTCACCTGCTTCTTACCTACATTTGGCATGCTTTAAGCAGGTTTTGTATTCCCATAGACTTGTAGGGAAATGGAAAACCTGTTTGCAGTTAACAAAAGGCAGTCGACACAGGTCCTAACTTACTCACTTAAACAGTTTTTGAGAGACACAGCACTTGTAGATTTCAAACCATTGTTTTTACTGCAACCTACAGGAAGGATACTAGGCAGCCCAGATAGGTTATAACCCCACTCCTACCAAGCATGCTCAGTTGTAACAAACAGTAGAGGGGATAGGAGAAAAAAAAAATAAACAAGAGCAACCATTGCAACTGGCCAATCTAATGGGTCCCCCAATTAACATAACAGGAAGGGATTTTATGATTAGTACAAAAAAACAAAACAAAAACAATTTTCTCTTGTCGTTCGTTTTAGACTCTGCAGCACAGGATGTCCACAAGCAGCCTCTAAAACACAGGGGCAAGCTTTGCTGACCCAGATAAAAAATAGGACAATGCTGACATTTGTCAATGAGTAAATCCACGTTCAAAAGTAAAAAAAAAAAAAAAAAAAAAAAAAAAAAAAAAAAAAAAGACACTATCTTGAGAGGCTGATATTGTTGAAGTGTATACAGTATTATTTGTCCTAAATTACCTAGTGTATATTTGATAATACTTTACATCATATTCAGATGACCACATCACTATAGTGGGGACAAAAACTACAATAAAGACCTGAATGAATATCCAAGTACCGCCCAGCACGCACACTCCGCTCCTCACAAGACCTCCTTCTCTCTAGTTCCCTGGTCTCCTCCTCCCATGCCCGCCTCCAGGACTTCTCCAGGGTGTCACCCATCCTCTGGAACTCCCTGCCCCAACCCATCAGATTATCACCTACTCTCCTCTTTAGGCGCACCCTGAAAACCCATCTCTTCAGGGAAGCCTACCCCACCACCAGCTAACCTGCCGACCTCCTCCACTCTTCCTACCACTCCATCCCCCACAGCTATCTCCTCCTGTGCCACCATCCCCTCCCTCCTAGATTGTAAGCTCGAAAGAGCAGGGCCCTCAATCCCCTCATGTTTTGCATTGTATTGGTATTGTTCTGTCACATGTTCTGTCCCCCTTTGTAATGTACAGCGCTGAGCGAACTATTGGCGCTTTATAAATACTGTATAATAATATAAAAAAAGAAGATCTAACCTTTTTCCACTTTTCAAAAACAAAATATATTTTTGGTGTATGTATTTCCGTTGCACAGATTACGCTTCTTCCCTTTCCCTGTGGCTTAACAGGGGACATAGGCGGCAATAAAAACCTGGGAAAATGATGCACTCTATTTTTACAGAGTGGCAATGAAGTAAAAATAAAATATCCCTACACACTTTAAAAAAGATAAAAATTAAACAGTTTTATTGCTCATGCAAATCATCTTAAACTATTTATTTTAAAACACAGTTGCAATTTAGTGACAATCATAAGGCATGTGGATCAAAATTATTATCATTTTTTTTTTTTACTACCTAACTACCATATTTCGAAGTCCATGTCTTAACTCTGTAATGGTTACAGATTTTGCAATATGTTGCAAAGCAATGGAAAATATACAGCCTGGCCAGTGAGAAGCAGATCAGTATATGCTTATCAATGCAATGTCTGATGTTTTAAATCCGATGGTTTAAAATGAAGTTCAAGATAGGTAAGAATAGCAATGTTTGAAAGCAGATCAGTAAAGACTCCAATTATGGCTTGTGCAACAATCACTGCCAATATCCTTCCGACAATCAATGATTCAATCCATCTTTTCTTTTTGCACCAATTTTGGAGCATCTACAAAGTCTTTGCCATTGTAGAGGATAATGGTGGCTGTTCCAATACTAGCAACTGCCCAGAAAAGTACATAGGCCAAAGTCTCTGTCCATGTGTCACCTTGAAAGAAAAGCAGATTTATTTCAGTATGTTTTTAGGTGTATAACAAAATGTGAATCTTAGCAATTCAGCAATATAGTGTTGCCTTACCAGCCATGAGCAAGCAGATAATGCACATTGAAAAAGCAACCACCATGATGATTGGCAACTGAATAGGAAAGAAAAACAAAATACATATTTACTGTCCTAGCAGTAATCAAGCTGTAAATTAAATAATAGTTTATTAAATTCTATGATAACTACAGGATACTTTAACTACATTCAAAGAAAATCAACTTGCTTAGCAGAACAACCAGATTCCTAGTTTCATATTAAGGCCTTATGCACACAGGTGTATAAATGTATGCTGCATTTTTTTCTGCCAAAATATGGCAGAAAAATGCCTCTACATTCCCTTGAAAAAGTATTCATACCCCTTGAAATTTTCCACATTTTGTCATGTTACAACCAAAAGCGTAAACGTATTTTATTGGGAATTTATGTGATAGACCAACACAAAATGGTACATAATTGTGAAGTGGAAGGAAAATGATACATTGTTTTCAAAATTTTCTACAAATAAATACCTGAAAAGTGTGGCGTGCATTTGTATTCAGCCCCCTTTATTCTGATACCCCTAACTAAAATCTAGTGGAACCAATTGCCTTCAGAAGTCTCCTAATTAATAAATATGTGTCCACCTGTGTGTAATTTAATCTTAATATAAATACAGCTGTTCTTTGAAGCCCTCAGATGTTTGTTAGAGAACATTAACGAACAAACAGCATCATGAAGGCCAAGGAACACACCAGACAAGTCAGGGATAAAGTCGTGGAGACGTTTAAACCATTAGCAGCCCGGCCAATGGCCGTTTGGCGGCTTAAAAGTGTTGCTGCATTCTGGGGGCACGCCATTTGGCGTGCTCCCGCACATGCGCAGTTTGCGCTAATGCAGAGCGGCGCAGCAGCGCGATCTGTCACCGGCCGTGTACCTCGGACACGGCCGATGACAGATCCGAGTACCGGCTCCCGTTGCTGGTACCATGTGACCTGCTGTGACCAATCACAGCAGGTCACATGACAGTTGTATACAATGGATGGCTTCATTCATGCCATCCATTGTATACTAGTGCCTAGCTGTGAATGGTCACAGCTAATCACATGCACATGTCATGTGATTAGCTGTGACCAAATCACAGCTAAGCACAAAAAAAAAAAAAAAAAAAAAAAAAAAAAAAAAAAGCTGAATGAATCAATTTCATTCAGGTAAATGCTTGCTTATAGCATAGTAAGTCTTTGCTATAAGCAAATTGTGTAAAAAAAATTAAAAAAAATACTGATCACTTCCCCAAAGTAGTACAATGTTACTATGGTAACATTGTACTACTTTGGTCATAGTAAAATATGAAAAACAAAATCTTAAAAAAAACAAAACAAAATGTAATAAAAAATTAAAAATAATAAAAAAAATAAAATAAAAAAAAAAATATATATATATATTTTTTTCATACTGTCACCAGTCAGTGTCCCTGTTCACCGCCATGCCAGTTATATGATGACGCTGTACTGCACTGGTGACAGTATGTAAAAAAAAAATAGTGAAAATAATTTCTTTAATTTTTTCATTTTCCGAAAAATTATGACAAAAAAAATACAACTTCAAAAAACTCGCCATGCCTCTTATGAAGTACGTAGGACGGTCTACTCTGCAAAAAGGGGTCATTTGGGGGATATCTGTACTATTCTGACATTCTTGGACCTCAAGAAATTAGATTGGCTGTCAGTACTTCAGGATTGATCAATATTCAGATCTATACCATAGTTTGTGAACTCTATAACTTTCCTACAAACTAAATAATACATCCTAATTTGGGTTATTTTCACCAAAGACATGTAGCAGAATACATCTCGGCCTAAATTTATGAAGAACAATTATTTATTTGTAAACTTTTATAACAGAAACAAAGAAAAATGTGTTTTTTTTTTCAAAAGTTTTGGTCTTTTTTTGTTAATTTAGCAAAAAATAAAAACCCCAGCGGTGATTAAATACCACCAAAAGAAAGCTCTAGTTGTGTGAAGAAAATGATAAAATTTTAGTTTGGGTACAATGTTGTATGACCGCGCAATTGTCATTCAAAGTGTGAGAGCGCTGAAACCTGAAAAATGGCCTAGGCAGGAAGGTGTAAAAATTGCACGGTATTGAAATGGTTAAAGCAGGGTTCAGTTATAAAAAAAAATACCCAAAGCTTTGAACATCTCACGGAACACTGTTCAATGCATCATCCGAAAATGGAAAGAGTTTGGCATGACTGCAAACCTACCAAGACATGGCCGTCCACCTAAATTGACAGGCCGGGCAAGGAGAGCATTAATCAGAGAAGCCGCCAAAAGGCCCATGGTAACTCTGGAAGAGCTTCAGAATTCCACAGCTCAGGTTGGGAGAATCTGTTCACTGGAAAACTATTAGTCGTGCACTCCACAAATCTGTCGTTTATGGAAGAGTGGCAAGAAGAAAGCCATTGTTGAAAGAAAGCCATAAGAAGTTGCCTTTGTAGCTTGAGAGAAGCCATGTGGGGGACACAGCAAACATGTGGAAGAAGGTGCTCTGGTTAGATGAGACCAAAATTTAACTTTTTGGCCTAAAAAGCAAAAAGCTATATGTGGTGGAAAACTAACACTGCACATCAGCCTAAACACACCATGGTGGAGATACTTTTCTTCAGCACGGAAAGGGAAGCTGGTCAGAGTTGGGAAGATGGATGGAGCTAAATGCAGGGCAATCTTAGAATAAAACCTGTTAAGAGTCTTGAAAAGACTTGAGATTGGGGCGGAGGTTCACCTCCAGCAGGACAATGACCCCAAACATACAGCCAAAGCTACAATGGAATGGTTTAGATGAAAGCATAATAATATGTCAGAATGGCCCAGTCAATGTCCAGACCTAAATCCAATTGAGAATCTGTGGCAAGACTTGAAATTTGCTGTTCACAGATGCTCTCCATCCAATCTGACAGAGCATGAGCTATTTTGCAAAGAAGAATGGGCAAAAATTTCCCTCTCTAGATGTGCAAAGCTGGTAGAGGCATTCCCAAAATGACCTGCAGCTGTAATTGCAGCAAAAGGTGGTTTCACAAAGTAGTGATTCAGGGGGCTGAAGACAAATGCACGCCACACTTTTCACATATTTATTTGTAAAATTTTTTGAAAACCATTTATCATTTTCATCCCACTTCACAATTATGTGCTACTTTGTGTTGGTCTATCACATAAAATCCCAAAAATTAAATTTATGGTTGTATTTATGGTTGTAAATGTGGAAAATTTCAAGGGGTATGAAATACTTTTTTTAAGGCACAGTAATGTCACGGCTTTAAAGCGTCTCCTCTTCAGGGGTTCCCTTCCGGCACTCTTGGCTCCTCCTCTTCTCTATGTGCCACCACAGGATGTCACCTGAGTGACCCCCGGAACTTAGTTTACTTTAGTGGCAGGGACCCCCAGATGTCATCTGACTGTCGCTTTCCTCCAGCCGAATGCCACCTCCAGGACCCCACCACTAAAGTAAACAAAGGTGTAGGGTCACCAAGGTAACATCACTGTCAAAATATAGAATGTCTACATTTGATCAACGATGTCAATATGACCAATTACATCACCCGTGTGTCCCCAGGTGTTTTACTTAGCAATTACTGTTGGACTTTCTTACTATATATCTGGCCAAATTAAAAGTCAAATGTTGGTGTTTCTACACAGTATCACTTTTTTAAACTGTTTGCTAAAGGTGGGTATGCTTGACACTACACTACGGTGTGAAATGTTTTGCCACTGATTTGCCATATTGACCTTTTTTGCAAAAAGTGCACTGCAGCGCCAGATTTTTACTATATAATTTGCTGCTGTTGACTGGTGCTATATACTTGTGTTCTATTTGACATCACCCTTCAATACCATTTGTCAACTGGTTAGACCACCGACACTGCATCACAGGGGTGAAGACTGTTTTTTGTTTTTTTTTTATAGTATCCATAGGAAGTCATCATCTTTGGGGTTACTGTTTTTAACTTGGACAAGTGTTACATAAAAACCACTGTGCTTCGTTGAATTTGAAATGTATTGGTTCATTTACTTTACAAATAAGAGTTAAAATCTTTTACCAAACGTGACAGAAGTACGTTGGTCTCTTTTATGACCTTTGGAAAGTCTTACCTATATAAAAAGACTCTGCAATCTCTATGCACCTTCAAGAGGCACTTTCATATTGATTAAATGCAATAATGCATGGACATTCTCTTGTTCTGGTTAATACAAGAAGTTTTTGGAAGATTGTTGCAGTTCATTTTAAATGTTTTTACATTTTAGGATGGCTTCATGGCTACAGCTATATATTTCTAAATATAGATTATCAATATTTTTTGAATTGTTGCTTTAATAATTGGAGTTATCCCCAAGCCTACATATCCTCTTTAAAAAGTATATTGTGAAGCAGGGTTACTCCAAACTTTTTTTTATATATTTGTGATTTTTTTTGAGATACCCCTCATGGGCAAAAAACTTTACCTCCTGCATTACTATGTTTTTATTGCTGGCTTTTCACTCTCACTTCTGATTCTGAATATTATATACACTGCGCCAGGGACAAAAATGTAAATTTTGCTTGAGAACAAAGGGGAACAGGAGAAATCTCTCAAAGTGGGCACTTGACCAGTGACAGCTGTCAAAGGTGGGATTTTCTCACATTGTGACAGATTTCCCTTTACTCCCTGCTGCATCCCCCCCAGTGGTGACACTGACAACAGTTAAAAAGGGAGTTTAACCTAATTTATCTAAAACCATAAAAACTGTTGGCTGGAGTTCAAGTACTTTAAAGGGTAGAACAAACATTTCTTGATGAACATTTCATTCCTGTGATGATAGAGGTGTAAAAGGGGGATATCTTACTTGAAGAAAGAATGAAAAAAAAGACCACCAAGACAGTAGAAGTGGGTTTTAAACCCTAAATTCTGAAGAAATCCACAGGCCTTAGATGATGGTCAGCTGTAAAAAGACACCCCCAATTGACAAACAAATAGCAGTCTCTTGTACCTGTCATTTATTTTTAAATTTCCTATCTGTGATTTAATTAAATTGCTACTGCAAATTTTAGTGAAAGCTTTTTTTTCTTTTTGAGTAAACATTGTTTTGGCAAAAACAAAAAGATACCTGACAAAAGACAGAATTAGGTCTACAACACAGTGACTTTTACTTACTGCCAAGAATTTCCAATCTTTCTGTACTTGTAAAGGACTAGAAGAATAGGCTTCTTCAACAGTGTAATTTCCAAGAAACAAGTCGATTGAATCCTGTATAAAATAAAATAGACAATATTGCAATTAAACAATATAATTCATAATTTCTTATTTATCATCTGTAATAGTCCCCTAAGTTTTTGAATTAAAATGGAACTTCGTCTTTTTTTTTAATGCTAGCAGGTACCTTTTAAAGCAGAAGAGACTATTTATGACTCTTCTGCCAATAATACTTTCTCCTTGTTTGCTAGCATTTTTTTTAATTGCCACAAATGCGTACACATACGGCATGCACAGAAGATGTCAGCAAAGATTTGCAAAATATTTTGTGCACACTATGGGGAGCACCCATTTTAAAGGATATATTCATATTCAGGGTGTAACATGTAACAGGTTACTAATGGACTGGCATTACTCCCCAATTTTGACAGCTTGCAGGGGATCTTCTCCTCTCCACTAGCTGTCACAATTTAAAAAAAGCAAAAAACGTGGCTGTGTGGGACTCCACCCACCCAGCTACAGTTGTGTCCAAAATTATTCAACCCCCAATGCTGTAAAGGGTTTAGGGACTATAGTGTACATTTGGAATTGTATTCAGAATCAAATCCTACAAGGACGTTGTAACTACCCAAATGCAACTAAAATGACATCAATTGTTTATGTAATACAGTAGTAAATGGTTCTTATGTGGTTTCTTCATTGCCACAATTATTCAACCCCTTAAAGACTACCACTCTGAAGAACAGAGGTTCATACAGGTGCTTTCCATCAGGTATTGAAAACACCTGTGGATGTCACCGAGCAGCAATCAAGCATAATAAGCACCAATTAGGCAGCTTTAAAATGACTGTGATACTCAGCTCCTTCTAGACATTTACTGGTGTGGTTACAAACATGGTGAAGGCAAGAGAATGGTCCAGGAAGACAAGAGAAGAGGTGATTTCTCTTCACAGGAAGGGCAATGGCTATAAGAAGATTGCAAAGATGTTAAACATACCAAGAGACACCTTAGGAAGCATCATTCGCAAATTCAAGGCAAAGGGCACTGTTGAAACGCTACCTGGTCGTGGCAGAAAGAAGATGCTGACTTCGACTGCTGTGCGCTACCTGAAGCGTAGAGTGGAGAGAAGTCCCCGTGTGACTGCTGAGGAACTGAGAAAAGATTTGTCAGATGTGGGTACAGAAGTTTCAGCCCAGACAATAAGACGCACACTGCGTAATGAAGGCCTCCGTGCCAGAACTCCCAGGCGTACCCCCTTGCTGTCTCCAAAGAATAAGAAGAGTCGACTGCAGTATGCCAAAAGCCATGTGGACAAACCACAAAATTGTGGGATAGTGTTCTGTGGACTGATGAAACAAAATTAGAAACTGTTTGGGCCCATGGATCAACGCTATGTTTGGAGGAGGAAGAACAAGGCCTATGATGAAAAGAACACCTTGCCTACTGTGAAGCATGGTGGAGGGTCAATCATGCTTTGGGGCTGTTTTGCTTCTGCAGGTACAGGGAAGCTTCAGCGTGTGCAAGGTACCATGAATTCTCTTCAGTACCAGGAGATATTGGATGGAAACGTGATGCAGTCCGTCACACACCTGAGGCTTGGGAGACGTTGGACCTTTCAACAGGACAATGATCCCAAGCATACCTCCAAGTCCACTAGAGCATGGTTGCAGAGGAAAGGCTGGAACATTTTGGAGTGGCCATCGCAGTCACCAGACTTAAATCCGATTGAGAACCTCTGGTGGGACTTAAAGAAAGCAGTTGCAGTGCGCAAGCCTAAGAATGTGACTGAACTGGAGGCCTTTGCCCATGAAGAATGGGCGAAGATACCCGTAGATCGCTGCAAGACACTTGTGTGTCAAGCTATGCTTCACGTTTTTTTTAAAGCTGTTATAACTGTAAAAGGATGCTGTACTAAGTACTAAGATTGAATGTCACTTGGGGGTTGAATAAAACTGATAATGCTGTGAGCACAGAAAAGACATTTGTGGTTATTTCATTATAACTGTTATGTTATATTTGTCTGACCTACAAGTGCCTCTTTAATGTAAATGTAAGCAAGATGACTGAATGATCAAAAGCAATGTCAAACTGGCCAAAACACTCAATTTCAGTGGGGGTTGAATAATTTTGGACACAACTGTACGTCACTACAAGTTCCAACAGCATTTGCGGCTTCATTTTCTGGAATTTCCACTCACTTCCTGTTTGGCTATGGGGCAGGGAGTGAATGGAAATATCCGCAATGGGACACAGAAGCAATAAAAAATTGACAGGGGTTATAAACCCTCCCTTACATACGGCATGCACAGAAGATGTCAGCAAAGATTTGCAAATATTTTGTGCACACTATGGGGAGCACCCATTTTAAAGGATATATTCATATTCAGGGTGTAACATGTAACAGGTTACTAATGGACTGGCATTACTCCCCAATTTTGACAGCTTGCAGGGGATCTTCTCCTCTCCACTAGCTGTCACAATTTAAAAAAAGCAAAAAAAAAAAAAACGTGGCTGTGTGGGACTCCACCCACCCAGCTACGTCACTACAAGTTCCAACAGCATTTGCGGCTTCATTTTCTGGAATTTCCACTCACTTCCTGTTTGGCTATGGGGCAGGGAGTGAATGGAAATATCCGCAATGGGACACAGAAGCAATAAAAAATTGACAGGGGTTATAAACCCTCCCTTACTCTATCCTAAATGAAGTAATAGTTTTGCCTATAGTTCTGCTTTAAGTCACTGCAGCTGTTAATCTGGGAGATACTAGGTCAGCGGTGTCAAACTGGGAAACTACAAGTCCCATTGTGCCGCTGCCTTTGGGAATCATGCTTGTAACTGTAAATCTTGCAATGCCTCATGGGACAACAGCTGGAGGGCCACCAGTTTGACATCTGTGTACTAGGTGAAATGTTACTTAATTTCTTTTTATTTCTCGAGTTTGCCTCTTAAAACTGGAGACTGAATTGTACAGAAGAAGAAAGAAATGAAAGTAAAAAAAAAAAAAAAGACATTTTTTTTATATTTCACATTTACCTAAATTTTAAGTTTATATATTTTTTGCCCTGGCAATAAGAGGGAAAGAGAATATAGTCAAAACCACCATATATATATATATATATATATATATATATATATATATTCATTCACTTTATGACGTAGGCTTTTACAGTTCTAAGGCAGAATTTTGTGTTCTGTGTGAAGTTAACAACAGTTCACAGCCTAATTTCCAACATATCTCTCCCAATTACTCCATTACTTATAATAAACAATATGTAGCAGCACGCCACATTATAAAGGCTTTATTTAAATCATCACATCGAAGTTCTTCACGTGACAGTAGCATGTTTATGAGTTGGGCTTAAAGCGTTAGTAAACCACATCCAAATAATAAAAAAAAAAAAAGAATAAAAAAATCCCCTGCAAGGTAACGGTATAATGTGCTAGTATTCATCGCATGTATGCAATGCATACTAGCACATTATGTAAAACTTAACTTGAAATGAAGCCCTCCAGAAGCATGCTGTCACCTCTGTAGAGGCTTCCATCTTCATCCAGTCTTCCTTCTGGGTTAACGAGCTCCGGCCATCTGATTGGCTGAGCCGCGATGAAGTCACTCCCATGCATGCGGGAGTCTCGGGACACGGCACAGTGCCCTAAAGGAACAGCACGGGTATGCCGTTCCTTCAGAGAGCATGCATCCGCTCTAAAAAAAACCCCCCAAAAAACTGATATCTCCATGCACGTTTAGGAGATATTCATATTACCTACAGGTAAGCTTTATTATAAGATTACCTGTAGGTAAAAATTAACAAAGTGGATTCACTACCACGTTAACCTCTTGCCGTCTGCCTGCTGTTTATAAACGGCAGGATGGTGGCACTCCAGGGGCGGGTTGCCGTTCATAAACGGCACCCGCTATTTCCAGTTGTGCGCGCTCCCTGGGAACGCGCAGCAACGCGATCCGGTGCCCGCTGTGTCCTCCGGACACAGTGAAACACGGATCGTCGGACGGGACCTCTGTACGAGGTCCCGATCATGTGATCACTGATTGGCCAATCAGTGATCACATGCAAAGTAGTAGGCAAGATGTCACTTGTGACATCATTGCTTACTACGTGTGAAATCTGTGAATGATCAGAGAGGTCACATGGTACAAGGCTATTCACAACAGCCTTGTACCATGTGACAAGCTCTGATCAATCACAGCTCACACAGTATTTCTCAATGGCTGCAAGAATGCAGACAGAGAGAAAGAGAAATGATTGCTTTTGCATCCTATATGGGTGTAAAAGCAATCACTGTAAAAAAAAAAAAAAAAATTTCATCACCCCCCACAAGTAGTACAGTGTCACCATGGTGACACTGTACTGCTAGGGTGATGGTATGTAAAAAAAAAACCAAAAACAAATAATATAAAAAAATAAAATAAAAATGTAAAAAATTTTTTTTTTTAAATTATAATTTTTGGTTATAAACTAATTTGGCGTATTTTTTTTTTATACTAAAAAGATAACGGAATAAATTTTGGCCAAGATTTATGATGAAATATTATTTATTTGCAAAATTTTATAAGAAAATCACTTTTTTCCAAATTTTTGGACATTTTCATTTATATAGCAAAAAAAAATAAAAATCCCAGCGGTGAATAAATACCACCAAAATAAAGCTTTATCTGTCTCAAAGAAAATGGCAAAAAATTCATATGGGTACAGTGTTGCATGACTGCGCAATTGTCATTCAAAATGTGATAGCACTGAAAGCTGAAAATTGCCCTGGACAGGAAGGGGGGGAAAGTGTCCGGACAGGAAGTGGTTAAGGGAGCATATTCTAATTTCTGAAATTTGTATTCATAGAACGGTAGTCCTTCCTTAAGATTTGAAAATATGGGAACTAAATTGAGTTTTTTGTAAAATGCCCTTGGACCATATAAGAGAACATTCTGTAAAGCATTTATTAGACTTGTAAGTAAAAGTCATAAAAATAATCATTTATATTAGAGTTTCCCTGACCAGGAAAGATAGTTATCGGTGCAGAAATCTCTTCAGGTCCTCTTCTTCCATTGAAAACTATAGTTACTGTACTTCAAGTTATTTTAGTGCACACATTCTGGCCAGATTGAAAGTACAGGGAGGGAGTTTAGAAAGCTGTATAATATATTAGGCATTAGTTTAAGAGTTTGATTGAGAGAGAATTGAGTGTACAACTGCAAATAATACAACAGCCAGTAATAAATTACAGAATAAAAGTCAAGCTGGTTTTGGATGCAGTATGTACAATACAGAAACCCTCTGCAGAAAACATAATGAGAAGATATTACTCCCAGCCTCCCTCATTCCTCCTTGCACAGCCACCTCCTCCAAGCTACAATTATCAAGTCAGCTTATGTTCTCCCTCCTCTCAAATTCCATCTGTTTAAAAACAATTTACCTTCATACCTCTGCTGCAGTCATGTGGAAAAAGTTAGTACACCCCATAGAAATTGTTGACTTTTTCAATATTTTTGAACAGACAAACATTGGATTTTCATTCAAATGGTGCCTACAGATGAAGGTGATATAATTGAAAAAACCCCCCAAAAAATTAAAAGATGTGCCACGATTACTTATTTCCTGTAATCTGGCACATTCTCCATACTACAGGGCTGCAAACACTTCTGAGTTTTACCCGGAGTATTGTAGCCATGTCACATGACGGCATGTTAAATTGGTTATTTAACCACTTGCCTACTGAGCACTCCCCCCCCCCCCCCCCATCCTGCCCAGGAAGCACTGTCGCACTTTGAATGACAATTGCATGGTCATGCAACACTGTACCTATATGAAATTTTTTGAATTTTTTTCACACGAATAGAGCTTTCTTTTGGTGGTATTTAATCACTGCTGGGTGTTTTATTTTTTGTGCTATAAACAAAAAAAGAGCAAAAAATGTGAAAAAATTTTGCAAACAGGTAATTTTTCTCCTTCACTGATTGGCGTTGAAGCTGCTCTGATAGGCAGAACTGATGAGGTGGCAAGGATAGACAGCACTGATGGGCACTGATAGACAGCACTGATAGGTGGCACTGCCGGGAGGCAACTGATGGGTGGCACTCTTGGGCAAAGGTGGGTGGCACTGCTAGGCACAGGTGGGTGGCACTGCAGGGCACAGGTGAGTGGCACTGATGGGTACAGGTTGGCAGCACTGCTGGGCACAGGTGGGTGGCACAGGTGGGCAGCACTGCTGGCACTGATCATCAGGCACTGATCACTTCGCTGACAATTGGCAGTTCTCGGCAGCCGATAACCGGCAACTGTATTTACCCGGAAATTTGCTGTGTCATTGGACACAACTGATCACATGGTAAAAGGCCGCTCTGATCGGCCTTTTACCATATCACATGATCAGCTGTGTCTGTAGGACACAGCGATCACCGGTGGCGCTGGGTGCGCGCTGCTGGAGGCACGCAGGGGGCGTGTTCTGGGAGGACATCCATGGACAACCACGCTGTAGCTGTCCTTCGGCTACAGCGTGGTTGGGAAGTGGTTAAATTTAAGCATGACATATATCTGGCGTTAATCCCTCGTTAATGTATTGTGCCAAATTCGTGAAGCATTTGCGACACTCTGGATTTTGACTGTGACTCATATGCCAAATTCAGGTAGTTCTAAAATGAGCCACTTTTAAATTGCGTCGCAATGAATGAGCTAAATTCAAAATAAAGTACTGAAAGTTTGTATCTCATTATAGTGGAGCTTAGGCCAACTCTTATTTGGCGTACAGAAAGAGACCCTGCAGCAGACAGATTTAGTGAAAGACACTTTCACAAAATCTGTCTGCACCAGTCTTTATAAATTTCAGGGACAGTCTCTGGTCAAGCAGAATCAGATTGCTCCCCTGAACTACTGAAGTCAATTCAGCCCCAGCACCCTCTGCACCCACAGCCAAGCTCCACTGCCCATCCGCAGCACCCAGTCTTTCCTGCACCTCTGCGACATACACGGTCTTTGTACTGCATTCACAGTATGAGCCTCTGCTGTTCCAGATGTGCACCTGCAGTCTCTGCTGTTCCAGATGTGCACCTGCAGTCTCTGCTGTTCCAGATGTGCACCTGCAGTCTCTGCTGTGCTATCTCTGCACCTGCAGTCTCTGTGCACCTGCACCTGCAGTCTCTGCTGTGCCATCTCTGCACCTGCAGTCTCTGCTGTGCCATCTCTGCACCTGCAGTCTCTGCTGTGCCATCTCTGCACCTGCAGCTTATAGCCTAAGGCTGGCCATACATTATACAATTATCTGCAGATTTTTGGTTTAGATTTACCAAAAACCATATAATAGGAGGACAAACCTAAACAACACTTTCAGTTGTATCCAATTAGGCAGGCCCTTGCACTACATAGTTGAAGGTAAATCTAAAGGAAATTGGGCAGAAAATCTGCAGATAATTGTATAATGTATGGCCAGCCTTACTCCTGCTTCCAGCTACCCAGAGAATCGTGCCTCTCTCTCTCTCAAGCTCCAATTCCTCACTATGTAGCACCTACCCTTCTCCACATCTGCAGGTATCTTTTGAGTGACTTGGGAGCAGCCAATACCTAACCGAAACTCCCATAAGGAGTTTCCTGATAGAACATCTGCTATCTCTTAGCTTACACTCTAAGAGAAAGCAGTTGCACAGAGGAGCAGGGCCAACATATTAAACTGTGACAAGATGTTCAAGCAAAGCATGGACACTTCCCAAATGCCTCCGCTTTCCACAAACCCTCTGAAATCTTGTCCAGCAACTGGAAGCACAGCAGGCCATGCGAACCATCCTGTACTAGACCTGGATACTAATCTAGGGCTGCCTGCAAGCTTCCCTCGGGGCCCTGACCACCTCTACCATGCCCTCACCCCAGTCCCTCCTCCTTGAATCTGCATCTATCACCTCCTTGTTATTTCAAGGGTTTTAACAGCTGCCGGGGCCTTATTAATTAATGCAACAGTTTCTTTTAACTGCATCCCCAGAATTTCCCCACTCACCATTCCAAAGTCACCTGTATAATCTGGCGGTTGTACTTGTGGTGCACAATGAAGCATTAATGGTAACATTCTGGTAAAGACTATCCAATCATGTTAAGAGCAAGCTGGCAAGCAGAGAATAACCTTCCTCCCTGGATAACGTACAGTGAGTAGACGAGCTAACGGCGCCGCTCCAAGCCAGACAGCACAAAAGTTACCCTGCTGGTACTCAGTGGGAGCCGGCGTTCCAATGCTAATCCATAAAGCATTGGTCATCAGAGAGGATGGACGACACTCAAACCAGCCCAGTAAGGTTGAAATGTATGTGAAGACCTCAGCCGCTGCTCCAACTACGCCTGCCAAGGGGGCTTGGCTGGAGTGGCGGCTGAGGCCATCACATACATTCTGACCTGACTGGGCTGGTTTGAGCGGCATCTATCTTCTGATTTCCTCCCTGGATGATTTGAATTCCCTCTCCAACCAAATCGATGTTCATTTCCAGAAATGCTTCCAGGAGTAAAGCCGAGTATAGTGGCTTTACTACCTTTGTTTAACTGCATCTGTAGGTGTTGATGACTCCTGCAAAGAATACTAGTCTGTGGACCCCATGCAACTTGGCCAAGCTCTGCTGTCTTCCAAGGAAAAAAATCTGCCACCAGACCTAGGGCCTTAGCATGTATTGCATTCCCAATGTCTAGAAAATCCCCGGGTCTTTGTCAGAAGCATTCATAAATCTAATAATTCCTTTTATCCTACTAACATTGTTGTTATATTTTTATTTTCTCTAGATTGGGAAAAGTAAAATAAATAGACTTTACAGTCAATGTGAAAATATAAATATATAGGTTAATTAATTATACATATGTTGATATATAAACTTTTAAGAGATGGAATTTGTCCGTGTAACTAAACGTTGGAAGGAGAGGCCCCTTCTCTATTAGGGGTCTCAGATTTCTTGTCTCTCCACATGTGGGTAGAACTACTGGACTCAGCCCTCAGAAGGAAGGGGGATGAGAGTCTTAAACTGCTTGAACTATGAATACTTTCGGCAGACATGAGATGACGACAAAGGAGCGCGCTTCCACCCTTAGAGGGTAGCGCATGCTCTGAAACGCGTCGTTATGCATGCTGGTCCTTGACGTCATCACACCGACGCTACGCCTCAACATGCGTTCCAGACACCATCTTCAGGAGTTTACACATGCCGGCCGGCTTCTTCCTCCTGCTACCACGATTTCCTGGGCACAGACGCAGCTGTCAAAGCCGGGACACAGCCGTTCCTCTACTCCCATGAGACTGCACCTTAAAAGCTTGTTTTACTACAAATACATGTGAGTTGCTCTACATTTGGTACTTAATAAAAATGGTTCTACTGCACTTAGAGGCGCTTCTTTTCTTTTTCATTTACACAGAGTTCTGCTACAATACTACAGGAAGCTTGCCCAAAGTGCCCCATGGACCTTTATGCAACCCTAATTATTGGACTTCATGGACTTTCATAATCCATTTGCAATTGGTGGTATTTTTGCGTGGATTGTTTTTGCTCTCTCCTAATTGTTTAGATATGAAACGATGAGCAGAGCAGACATCTGCCCACACACACAATTATACACACACAATTTTTATCTCAAGAACATAACTACACTTTGGACATTATTTTACATTTTGTATTTTAGTATTTTTCTTGTAATTTCATGCCATTTTATTATTAAATCCATTTTGAGTTTTTGCACAAGAACTGGAAGGACTTTCTATTTTGAACTTTTCTCACCAAACTAAGTTTACAGAATATAATAATATTTATTCAGATTCTTCAGTCTTGAAGGGGGTCTACTGGACCATTCATCTCCACCCTCTGCTAACTCTCCCACTTTTACTGTCCATCTCTGTGTCAGAGGTCAGTCAATTCCAGGTTCAGGTTTTATGGACTCTGGGACAGAGGCTAATTCAATAAGGGCACCCCTAGCTCTAAATCTGGGGCTCATCCTAGAACCCATGCATCTATCTCTCTATCCATCCATCTATTTGTGTGTATGTAAGACTGCATTATTTAGGTTATTTTTGATTTTGCCTATAGATACACTTTAACTTATGACAATAAAGTCATTTTTATCACCACAGTAAACTTAATTTTTCTTATCGCTTGTGTATGTGTAAATGTTATTACTCACGAAGGCCAAATTGACACTGGCATTAAAAGCAGGCATTTGAGGGGAGTTTTTAACACTCCTCAAATGCCTATACAAATGATACTATGGATAGCACACAGTGCTGTTCACATTATCAAAACATCAAGTGTTAGTGTCGTGGTGCTTCAAAATCGAAGCCTCATGTCGAGTCTGGAGAAATTTAAAGTCTTTCAATGCCTCCCATTCAAGTCTATGGTGATGCTCTACAAACGTCCTGGCATGTGTTTGCAGGTTGTTTACAGTGTGGTTACGGCGCATTAATAACATTACAGTTTATTATAGGCATTTGTGGTGTGGTTTTAATGCTTGTAAACCGCTTCAAACCCATGCATTGGGCTTTTGGGGAGCATTTTTAACGCTTGTAAAATGCAAGTCTAACGCCCATACTAAAGCTCATTAATGCATGTCTAATGGATATACTAACGCTATAGGAGCGTTTGTTAAAATTTTTAAATTTGGTAAAGTGTGAACAAGCTCTAACAGTGCATCACAAGCAGGGGCGGACTGACCATTTGGAAAACCGGGCACTGCCCGAGGCCCCAGGGTCAGTAGGGGGCCCCATGAGATGCCCCTGGTACTTTTTCATAGGTTTGTTTAGAGTTTGGGCAAGGATACAGGGGACCCATGATCCCCTATTGCCCGGGGGCCCCATGAGTTGTCAGTCCGCCCCTGGTCACAAGGTTCTATTCTGCACAATTTACATAGAGTAGTAATTCTGATACGCTGGGTACAGGCAAGCCGAAAATCATCCAATTCAGCAGGAACCAGTCGACTTTTGGTCAGTGTGCACAGCTGTCTGACAACATCTGGACATCTGGTCAGTGCTTGAAGCCAGTGGCTGCATGCACTGACCAGTGTATTCTGGTGGGAGCATCCCCCTGTCAGAATACAAAGACACAGTGGGGGAGAGCAGTACACCAACATTGCTTGCGATCTGTCAGATTTTTTCCATTCAGCCCGCTTAGTTGTACGAAATAAAAACTTGCAGTGTGTAACGGGCTATACAGAAAACTAAACTCAAACATACAGCATTGTTCAAGATATACTGTAATTTCATACACTGTGCAAAGTAACAACAGGAGGAAAAAAAAAACATCTTACTTGTCTAAACCCATCAGAAAAATTATTTTTATAGTATCGTATGAGAGAGTTCCAGCCATCCATTATAAGTCCCCATTGTGTTCGCTTTCCAGTTCTAGGAGAAAAAAAAGGAAAAATATAGACTTAAAGAAAAATAATTTGATGCAAAAGTAATAAATGTATGTGCTACTCTACCTCTTACAAATGAAAAGAAGGTACAGTATGAACTAGTATTATGGAAAGAATTACAAAGCATGAGTTATTATATGGACACTGCAGAGTTGGACCTTTCATGACTACAGAATACTAGATTTGCTACCAGATACCAATGGATGTAGCCTGAAAATACATAAAAGTAGTATTTAAATCCTGTATAATAATAACACACTACTACTACTACTACTATCTAAACCCCAGGCCCCCTACACGAAGCCCCTGGTTTATAGTTGTTAGGTTAGTTTATCTTAAAGCGGAGGTCCAGTCGGAATAAAAAATAAATAAAAGCAGCTACAAAAACTGTAGCTTTTGACTTTTAAAAAAAAGGACACTCACCTGTCCCTCGATCCCGTGGTGTCTTCACACCAGCTAGGTTGACAGACCATGCTGTCTCCTCGGCACTGGCATCTTCAGTATGGGCAACCGGCTGTGACAGCTTGCGGCTTCACAGTTGGGCGAGTAGCGCTGAGCTTTGTGAATGGTCCTGTAGTCTTCTGGGACCTGTCATGTGTTCAGAAGACTACAAGGAGGGGGGGGGGGGAGGACAACTTCCACTTCCGACCGCTTATGCTAAGTGGGAGCGGGTACCTGTCAAATTCGAGTACCCCCCCCCCCCCCCCCCGACTCCCCAAAGGTGCCAATCCTTAACGAGGAGCAGGGGACAAAGTCTTAAAGTGGAACTTCCCCTTTTGGGTGGAGCTCCTCTTCAACCACTTGCTGACCGCCCCATAGCAGATGTTTTGCTACAAGTGCAGCCACGCTGTGCAAATTGACGTGTATATATATACAGTGAAGGAAATAAGTATTTGATCCCCTGCTGATTTTGAATGTTTGCCCACTCACAAAGAAATGATCAGTCTAAAAATCGAATGGTAGGTGTATTGTAACACTGAGAGACAGAATAGCAACAAAAAATTCAAAAGAAATGAATGTCTAACAAATTATGCACTGATTTGCATGTTCATGAGGGAAATAAGTATTTGATCCCCTATCATTCAGCAGGATTTCTGGCTACCAGGTGTCTTTCATATAGGTAACAAGCTGAGATTAGAAGCAGAGAGTGCTGCTAATCTCATTTTGTTATCTGTTAAAAGACACCTGTCCACAGGAGCAATAAATCAGATTCCAAATTCTCCACCATGGCAAAGACCAAAGAGCTGTCCAAGGATGTCAGGGACAAGATGGTAGACCTACACAAGGCTGGACTGGGCTACCAAACTATCGCCAAGCAGCTTGGTAAGCATGTGACAACAATTGGCGAAATCATTCACAAAAGGAAGAAACACAAAACAACTGTCAGTCTCCCTAGGTCTGGTGCACTATGCAAGATCTCACCTTGTAGAGTGTCAATGATCATGAGAACAGTGAGGAATCATCCCAGATCTCCAGGCAGCTGGGACCACAGTCACCAAGAAAACAATTGGTAACACACTACGGCGACAAGGATTGAAATCCTGCATGGCCCGCAAGGTCCCTCTGCTCAAGAAAGCACACGTCCAGGCCCGTCTGAAGTTTGCCACTGAACATCTGAATGATGCAGAGGAGGAGTGGTTGAAGGTGTTGTGGTCAGATGAGACGAAAATTGAGCTCTTTGGCATCAACTCGCCGTGTTTGGAAGAGGAAGATTGCTGCCTATGACTCCAAGAACAGAATCCCAACTGTCAAACATGGTGGTGGAAACATTCTGCTATGGGGGTGTTTTTCTGCTAAGGGGACAGGACAACTGCACCGCATCAAAAGGGACGATGGACAGGACAATATACCGTCAAATCTTGGGTGAGAACTTTCTTCCCTCAGCAAGAGCATTGAAAATGGGTCATGGATTGGTGTTCCAGCATGACGATGACCCAAAACACACGGCCAAGGCAACAAAGGAATGGCTCAAGAAGAAGCACATTAAGGTCCTGGAGTGGCCTAGCCAGTCTAAAGACCTTAATCTAATTGCAAATCTGTGGAGGGAGCTTTAAGTTCGAGTTGCCAAACATCAGCCACCAAACCTTAATGACTTAGGAGGGATTTTGGCCCACTCCTCTTGGCAGATCCTTTCTAAGATGTGTGCAAACGCGGCGTCAGACCCCTGACATTCTCACCAAACTCATGACCGAAGGACCAGCCAATCTAAAAACCACGATGTCACGTGCGTAACACTGCCACACACAGCTGCACCCTGCACAACGATTTTCCAGCTAATTGGACCACAATCTATGTACTGGCAGCCTGGGAGCAATTGTTATTGGGTCAGGTTAATTACGCAATTAACCCTTCACACTGCCACCACCTCCTTTTTGTACAGAGAAAGAGGAAACTCGGCGATATCAGCTATAACACTATAATGGTTGAGATAATCATCTGTACAACACTGTCACCGCAGACCAGTTATACAGAGGGTTAAACAAACACAGTAGCGCTCTTTTTAGAGGCAGGAATTCGTAAATTGCAATAAAGAGCTATAGAAACAGTTCAACACTTACAGAAGGAAAGATTTATTACTAATAGGTCAAAAGGGTGCAATAAAAATATTTACAGAAAAAAGATGTAACCAATATATACAGTTGAGTTCAAAATAATAGCAGTGTGTTGAAAAAAGTGAATAAAGCTCAAAATCCTTCTAATAGCTTTTATTTCCATACACACAAATGCATTGGGAACACTACACATTCTATTCCAAATCAAAACATGAAGAAAAATATATCAAATTTGTGTTGCTCCTCTAAAAAAATTGAAGAAAAGTGAATATTAGACTGTTCAAAAAAATAGCAGTGTTTGTATTCTTCTTTACAAACTCAAACATTCACTATATAAACTGAAAAATGTTTGAAGATTTTGCTTTCCTTTGAATCACTTAATTTTTAGTTGTATATGCACTGTTTCTGAGAACTGCTGTACATCTGTGTTGCATGGAGTCAACCAACGTCTGGCCCTGTGAACAGGTATTCCAGCCCAGGATAATTGGACTACATTCCACAGTTCTTCTCTATTTCATGGTTTTGCCTCAGAAACTGCATTTTTGATGTCACCCCACAAGTTTTCTATTGGATTAAGATCCAGGGATTGGGCTGGCCATTCCATAACATCAATCTTGTTGGTCTGGAACCAAGATGTTGCACGTTTACTGGTGTGTTTGGGGTCGTTGTCTTGTTGGAACACCCATTTCAGGGGCATTTCCTCTTTAGCATAAGGCAGCATGACCTCTTCAAGTATTCTGATGTATTCAAACTGATCCATGATCCCTGGTATGCGATAAATAGGCCCAACACCGTAGTATGAGAAAACATCCCCATATCATGATGCTTGCGCAACCATCCTTCACTGTCTTCACAGTGTACTGTGGCTTGAATTCAGTATTTGGGGGTCGTTTGACAAACTGTCTCCGGCCACTATACCCAAAAAGAACAATCTTACTTTCATCAGTCCACAAAATGTTGCGCCATTTCTCTTTAGGCCAGTCAATGTGCTCTTTGGCAAATTGTAACCTCTTTAGCACGTCTTTTTTTCAAGAGTGGGACTTTGCGGGGGCTTCTTGCAGATAGCTTGGCTTCACATAGGCGTCTTCTAATTGTAACAGTACTCACAGGTAACTTTAGACCTTCTTTGATCTTCCTGGAGCAGATTGTTGGCTGAGTCCTTGCCATTTTGGCTATTCTTCTATCCATTTGAATGGTAGTTTTTCATTTTCTTCCACATCTTTCAGGTTTTGGTTGCCATTTTAAAGCACTTGTGATCATTTTAGCTGAGCAGCCTATCATTTTCTGCACTTCTTTATATGTTTTCCCCTCTCCAATTAACTTTTTAATCAAGGTATGCTGTTCTTCTGAACAATGTCTGGAACGACCCATTTTCCTCAGAATTTCAGAGAGAAATGCACTGTAACCAGCATGTACAACATTTGCTGCCTTCCTTCCTTAAATAAGGGCAATAATTGCCACCTGTTTTTCAAAGAATGAATGACCTCACGAATAGAACTCCACACTGCTATTATTTTGAACACGCCCCTTTCAATTAGTGATTCAATTACACAGAATCAGCAGCATGCATGTCATGACTGTTGGGTCTGTTGGATTTCTATTACTCTACTACACCAGCTAGTAAATTATTTGCCATGTAGAAATATTATTTCTACCAAAAACAGTGATTGATCTGGTTAGTGATGTCTGACTGCTATTATTTTGAACACAACTGTATATAAATATACAGAGAACAACAGCACAGCAAAGAGATAACAGAGAGAAGTTAGAGGGTTAAAGTACTTGCCAAAGTCCTGGGTTAGCAGATCAAATTTCAGAGCGAAAGGGCACGGGTCTCCCAGGTGGTTCTGATGTTAAAAGGGAGAATTCTTCAACTTAACTCTCTTAGGCCTGACAGCCCATTTTGTAGTTCCCTAGCAGGGGGTGTCTCTGAAGTCAAGGACCAATACCCCGTTTAGGGAAGGAAGGTCTGGGCATAGGCCTAAACTAAAGCCAAAATTTCTTATGGCTCATATTTTGGCTCATAACTTTTCCCAATGCACAAGTGACATTCCACCCGCAGGTAGATTATTATGCAGACGCATCTGAGGATTGATTAGATATGAAATTATACACTGAATGGTTCAAGAGATCTACTTTTCTGCTTTCCTATGTATTCCAGCCAAGGAGAGTGACATACAAACTGTTCGTCACTTTGTGGCCAATCTGAAGATATGCCTGGTTTTTATGTAAGGCCCTCATTCCAAGATATGAGACATAGGGGAAAAATGGATTTTAAAGTGTTATCTGGTTCGTGTTCTCAATGTCATTGAACTCTGAAGGCTTGCGTTATATTTTAGTGCTAGATTGCAGTTCTTAGTGTGCTTCAGCTTGTTTTATATCTGGGGCTCTTTGAACTGGCCGACCTGGGAACTCCTAACACACAGGCTTGTCAATGTGTATGAACAGAGTACGGGGGAGGAGTTATATATGTTTGTCAAGATGGTCTCTTTGACAACCAGGTTAAAGCCAAAATTGAGGCGTCCCTGCTGGGTGTACGGCCTGCCTACAACGACACTTCCAACACCACACCAAGGCAACAATCAAGATGTCATTAAGGTGGAGTGGCTAGCCAACAGACCTTAAGATTGCAAATCTGTGGGGGAGCTGAAAGTTCGAGTTGCCACAACATCAGCCATTTAATGACTTGGAAAGGATCTGCCAAGAGGACTGTGGGCCAAAATCCCTCTGAGATGTGTAAACCTGGTGCCACACTTGGGTATTTTCTGATTGCCAACAATCATTTGCCACCAAGTACTAAGTCATGTTTTGTGAAGGGATCAAATACTTGTTTCCCTGTGGAACATGCAAATGGGCATAATTTGTTAGACATGCAATTTTCGGATGCCATTCTGTCTCTCAGTGTTACAATACCTACCATTCAATTTTTGATGAGTGGTAAGCAAACATTCAAAATCAGCAGGGGATCAAATACTTATTTTCTTCACTGTACATGGGTTTGCATTTCTGGCTTGAGGGTGCATGCATGCGCCCTGCCCTACCCACGCTGTCAATGGCTCCCGGAAATGTAAATCACCGGGTCCCAGCCAGCAATTCATTTAATTAAATTTATGCACAGCGTTGCATGACCGTGCAATTGTCAGTTAAAGTAATGCAGCGCCGTATCGCAAAAAAAAAGCCTGGTTAGGGAGGGAGGTATATCTTCTGGAGGGCAAGCGGTTCATTAAAAAAATTGTCTATGCAGATACGAGATGTCTGTAGATAAAAACACACTGTGCAGCTTTGACTAAAGTTGAATAATGTCCTTGCTATAGGTGTAGGCCATTTATGTACCTCATGAAGCCGGACCTGAAAACTCATAGGATGTTGCTAAGTGAGGTCCAGCTATTACTGTTCACCTTCACCATCACAGGAGTAAGCTATCCAACTCTCAGCTCAATGCTACCACATCAGGGGACAGAATGTGAGGGTGTTTTTTATATCAGGGAAAGAGCTCCTGTAAAAATGAAGGTGAATAGTAATGGCTGGGCCTTGCTTAGCAGCATCCTGTGAGGTTCAAGGTCAGGCTCCATGAGGTAAAGTAAATGGCTGACACCTATAGTAAGGGCATTATTTAATTTTGGTCAAAGCTGCACGACTTGTTTTCATCTACAGACATCCTTTATCTGCATGAGCAGCTTTTTTGGTAAAAGGTGAGCTAACCTTTTAAGCATTTTGATAACGTTCATTTTATATTTGTTTAAAACTAAAATGTTCAATTTTGATTCTTGTTTGTATGACATACATGAAAGTTTGCCATGCATTCAGGAGTTTTAGGGCACTTTCAGAAAGTGCACCAAACCTGCAGGATATAATAAATATGTATGGCTCAGTGCAGCTACCCGCATGAAATCCGTAGCTGCACCTGCAGATCACTGTAAAAGTAGCCTAATCCTTTTTTAATTGTGCAAAAACAGCAGGTAATAGAAGTATTGAACAGGTCTCCACTTTTCTCAGTAAATATATTTCTAAAAGGTGCTATTGACATGAAATTTCCACATGTCAGTAACAGCCCATGCAATCCATACATACAAAGAAACCAAAACAAATAAGTTCAGAAAGTTATGTGTAATAAAATGGAATGACACAGGGAAAAAGTATTGAACACGCTAACTGAAATTTAATACTTTGTACTAAATCCTTTGTTGGTAATGACAGCTTCACAGCTTGGTAATCATAGTTCACTGTGCCATCCAAAAATGCAAGGTAAAGATCTAGCATGTAAAGATGAAGCCATATCTGAACATGATCCAGAAACACCACAACCTTCTCTGCTCCAAAGTTCATTTAAAATGGTCTGTTGCAAAGTGGAAAACTGTTCTGTGGTCATAAGAATCATAATTTGACATTCTTTTTGGCAACCATGGGCACCACCTCCTCCAAACTAAAGAGGAGAAGGACCTTTCAGCTTGTTATCAGAGCTCAATTCAAAAGCCTGCAGCTCTGATGGTATGGGGGTGCATTAGTGCGTATGGAATGGGCAGCTTGCACACCTGGAAAGGCATTATCAATGCTTTTTCAGGGAATGCCTTGCATATTTCAGCAGGACAACGGTAACCGCATACTGCACCTAGAACATACTGCATCTAACACCCAGGCCTGTCAAGCATTTATAATCCTTTGAGTCAAGAATGGGACAATATTCCTCTCCCAATATTCCAGTGATTGGTCCCTCAGATCCCAGACATTTACAGAGTGTTGTTAAAAGGAGAGGGGATGCTACACCGTGGTAAACATGGCCCTGTTTCAACTTTTTTGAGACATGTTGTTGCCATCAATTTCAAAATTACCTTATTTTTTTCTAAAAATAGTACATTTTCTCAGTTTAAACTTTTGATATGTTTTCTATTTTCTAATGTGAATAAAATATGAGTTTATGAAATTTACATATCATTGCATTCTGTTTTTAAGTAGATTTCACACAGGGTTCGAACTTTTTTGGAACTGTAGTTGTAAAAACCTGATGGGTGTTCTACTACAATCTATCCAAAACTGGCTGTAAAATAATATTCTTAAAATATTCAACATGAATATTAATATGAAACATATCCATAATCAATACACTGTATAACAGTTTACTTTAAATATTCAACTTGCCTTGTGAAGTCTGTTTTCAGTGCCCCTGTTCCAGCATACTGCTTTGCGCATGCATTTGCATTGTCAGCCCAAGCTAAAAATAAATTGTTTCGGTTATTAAAAAAAAATGTAAAATTGTAAAAGAAATTTACACAGATCCAATAATAGCATTTAAACTAACTATTTTAGTTTTTGTATCTGTAAGGCCCCTGCAGACCAGAGTTACATAGTCTGGTTGAAAAAAGACCAAAGTCCATCCAGTTCAACCATATTAAAAAAAAAAAAAAGTTATAATCGTATACCCACAGTTGATCCAGAGGAAGGCAAAAAACCCCAGCAAAGCATGGTTCAATTTGATCCTGCAGGTGAAAAAATTCCTTCCTGATCCTCCGAGAGGCAATCGGATATTCCCTGGATCAACTTTATCTATAAATGTTAGTATCCAGTTATATTATGTGTATCTAGGAAATAATCCAGGCCTTTTTTAAACCAAACTACTGAGCTCGCCAGAACCAACTCTTGGGGGAGTCTATTCCACATTTTCACAGCTCTTACTGTGAAGAAACCTTTCTGAATTTGGAGATTAAATCTCTTTTCCTCCAGATGTAAAGAGTACCCCCTTGTCTTCTACGATGACTTAAGGATGAATAACTCTACACCGAGTTCACTATATGAACCACTGATGTATTTATACATGTTTATCATATTCCCCCCTTAACCTCGTCTTCTCACGAGAAAATAAATTCAGTTCCTTTAATCTTTCCTCATAGCTGAGCTCCTCCATGCTCTTATCAGTTTGGTTGCCCTTCTCTGCACTTTCTCCAGTTCCACAATATTCCTTTTGTGAATTGGAGCCCAGAACCTGAACTGCATATTCCAGACAAGGTGGTCCTAATGATTTGTACCGGGGTAAAATGATATATCTCTCTCTGGAGTTTATACCTCTTTTAATACAAGAAAGGATTTTGCTCGCTTTAGAAACCGCAGCTTGGCATTGCATGACATTATTAAGCTTGTGATCTACCAGAACCCCCAGATCCTTCTCCACCATTGATCCCCCCAGTTGTACTCCCCCTAGTATGTATGATGCATGCATATTCTTAGCCCTCAAGTGCATAACCTTACATTTATCAACATTAAGCCTCATTTGCCACATATTTGCCCAATTAAACAGTGCATTGAGGTTGGCTTGTAAGTTGGAGACATCCTGTAAGGACATTATTCCACTGAAATAGTATTTTTTACATATCCACTATGGGGGGGGGGGGCAGGGGCTAGGATTTTTATCTTACAGGTAAATCAAAAATCCTATTTTCTTATTGTACACTAAAGGACACAAGACAGCATTCCGGAATGTAGGAATTTCCAACTGAGGGGTAAGCAGCACAGTAATAAAGGTTGGGGGAGCAACACTGCAACAAAGGCTAAAAGTTTCACTGAAAAAAAAAAACAATAGGTTAACAGAGGTGGCTCAACAGAGCCTACAGAGCTGCCGGAGAAAGTTTACGACTTGAACATCCAGATGGTAAAACGTTTGAAAGGAAGTCTGATGCAGAAAAGCCCAAGTGTCAACCAATCTGGTTGAAAGGACACGTACAGGATAGGAGGAACCTTGAGTTCAGAAGACTGGGTGAGAAGTTGTTGAATAAACCTGGCAAAAAAGGAATGAGAGGCAGGCTGTTTCTTTACCCTGCCCCTCAGGAATGAAAGAAGGAGTCAAACTGTGAAAAAGAGGGCTGTGACCAAGAATAGGCTTGAACAGTGTGTGCTATGTCCAAACAATGAAGAATGTTTCGGACGACAGAGAGATGGAACAATGTCCTGGTTAAGGTAGAACAAAGAAATCACATTCGGAATATAACAGATCTTGGCATTAAAAACAACACTTTCTTCCACTAGCGATTCCTATTTTGGGGAGAGACTAAGAACACGCACGCCCTCCCCGAACCCTAGCTCGTAACATAGGTTATTTCAGAGTTTAGCAGCATGTTTGGCCTCCGTTCGACCCGCCACTCCAGAATTCCCTCTCCCCCTCCTTCTCCCCCCCACCTTCACAATGAGGGAGGGAGAGAGGGCAAGGGAGACATAGCGCTGCCAAAGGAGCGGCGGGGCAAGAGGAGCCTCTCCCTTCCCCCTCTCTCCCCCTTAGCCCACGCCCACGCCCACCTACTTCCTACCCCTAGCTACCCTCTGCCATTTTTCTGTCCCATACCCTGCCCTCTCTTTAGACCCTTCTGAACACCCCTCTAGGTCCATTTTCTGTAAGTCTAATTTTTCACAAAAGTCACTTAAATCTTCTGGGAATTTCAACCTTGCCGATCTCCCATTTTTCCACCCAATCAAGCATGATGGAAAACCCCCATTACATTGAACTTTTTTCTCCTCATTTGATCCAACAGCGGTTTTAAAGATCTTCTCCTAGCTAGTGTCTTGAATGTGATGTCAGGAAACAATTTGCAGTGTTGTTTCCTCATATTTTTATTTCGGTAGCATCACGCAAACTTTTCCATATTCTTTCTTTATCTCCATAGTGATCAAACGAACTGTCACACCTCTGCGGTTTTCTACCGATACTCCTTGCACCCGTCTAATCCTATGGACTCTCTCAATTTTCAGATGTTCTGTCACTTATCTTCCCATTATTGGATTGAACAATTTCTTTATTTCCTCATGTAAGTCCTCACCTTGTGCTTCCTCTAGAAGGCCCCTGGATCCTTAGGTTGTTCCTTCTGTCACGGTTCTCTTGGTCTTCCAGTTTGAATGAAAGCTTCCTCTGTTCTCTTTGCATCTCCTCTACCTATGTTTCTAATTTATTAATCATTTGAGCATGCGTCTCCATTTTTCCCTTAAGTTCTTTCATTTGAGTTAATATTTGGCCATTTTTGGAAAAAAAAAAAAAAAAAAAAAAAATATTTGGCCCAAATCATTGCGTAATATCACCATCTAATTTTTCATGAACATCTCCAGTTTCCTGAACATTTCCACCATCTCAGTTTTTGTGGGTATTTGTGACATAGCTCCGTGTTGTTCCGAGACACTTTGTTTCATTACACTGTCCCTGCTTGTCGATTCATTAATCTGGTTCCCTTCCTGGATCCCAAATGACAAACTAGATTGATCTCCATCATACTTTCTAATTCCTTCTTGTTGCTTTTCCAATGTTTGCTTCCCTGGGCGTTTCTCCTGTAAGGGCATATATTTTCTGAATGTACTGGTGTTTGCGTTTGATTAGGGGTTTTTTGACCCCCCTCCTTTAGCTGATCTACTTTTCATACCCGACGGCTCTCCCGCTGTTTTTCTATTATTGCACAGGTACCCTAGTACTCGTCCCTGGGAGGGCTCCCCTTTTACTGTACAGTTCCGTGACCCCTGCTGTATAACCCTGGGGGCAAAGAAAAATGAGACAATTCCACGCCTCTCATTTTGAAACTGGGACTTTCAGCATAGTGTAGTAGTTAATAGATGTAACATTTATTAAAAGTAACCATGGTAAAAACAAATATAATTCACTTGAATAAATGCAGAGTAAAGCAGCAGTATGCAGCACAATGAACAATGCAGAGTATGACAGCGGTGTGCATCGGACTAACCGTCCAGAAAGCAAGATGGCCGCCGGGTCCATGGTTACTTTTTAATAAATGTTACATCCATTAACTACTACACTATGAGTACTTCCTATACTCCCCCTGGTGGAGTTATTTATTCATAGCACCTGCCTGATCCAGCAACATTAAGGATTCCAGAGAAGGGAGATCCTGTACCCAGGCACCTGCACCCACCTATCCCTTAAAGGGACCTCTGTCCAGCTGGATCTTCTTATCATCCTGTGTGCTTCCACCACTACCACCCACTCAGAGGGAGGATTATCTCTGTGTGTTCCTGACCAGACCAACCACCCAGAGGGAGGACATCTTCCCCCATCCCAGACCAGACCCTTAAAGGAGGCTTCTGTGGATTTTACTTAATGCACATTTACATTGTGCATCTGGTGAGTGCACAATCTCTCTACAGTGCTTGGAACACCACCACGGATTTTAAGGAGAGCACTATATAGACTATCAAGTAGCCTTTAGTGACAATACTGAACATTTGTTTAATAATACTTTAGAATCCTTTTACATATTGACTGCTCCATTGTCCGTTTAGTCATTTGGATTATACTTTGCATTATAATTTGCACCTTATTTATAGTGCTGCACTATATATTTTTTATGTATTTCTCACAAGGCTTTATTTGGTTTCCTTGAGTGTCTAGCAGCTTATCCCATAGAGCGCTCACTTTTATTGCTATCTTATTCATTATTAAATACCGACACAAAACTATATGCTAAGGTATTGGCAACTAGGCTGCAGGAGTTGATGCCGGAGTGGATACACAAGGATCAGGTGGGATTCACTCCTGGCAGAGAAGGGAAGGACAATGGCTTGAGATCGTTGCTTCTTTTACAAAAAGCAGAGAGAGAAAGTGTCAACAATATTCCTGCCGATTGATGCGGAAAAAGCTTTTGACAGGGTTGACTGGGGATTTATGTTAGACACATTAGAAGCATTAGGTTTGGGGCCTAAAATGTTAAAGTGAATAAAAGGATTCTATAATGGTCTGTCAGCGGTGGTAAAGGTCAACGGAGCCCTCTCACAGTTCTTTAAAATGCATAATGGTATTAGACAGGGATGCCCACTCTCTCCTTTGCGGTTTGTAATATCCCTGGAACCAGTGCTGGTGATGGTAAGAAAGTGTGTAGACATAACAGGAATAAAGATAGGAGATATGGAGCACAAGGTGGCGGCGTACACAGATGATATGTTGTTCTATATTGTAAATCCAGAATAACATTGCCTAATTTAATCAGACTATTAAAACAGTATGGAGAGTTATCAAACGTGAAAATAAACCCCGCAAAGTCAGAGATACTGAATATCAATGTCCCAAAGATAGAGAAGCAAACTGTACAAAAAAAAAACTCCCCATTTACACGGAGAGAAAAAGAACTAGACTATCTGGAAATAAAGTTAACCCCTTCAATAAAAGGCCTATACAAGGCAAACTATATTCCACTAATAAACAAAATAAAGGATGAGTTAGGGAGACTTTCA